ATATATATTGATCTTTCACATAATTACTTCATTTAAAAATTCAAATTCTGTCATCATTTAGACACTGTCATGATGTTCACAACCTGTATGACTTACTTTCTCCTGTGGAAAACAAAAATAGATATTTTAAAAAATGACTTTCAGAGAATGCCAACTTAAATTTTGGTCTGTTCCTCACATGAGTCATATTTTATGATACTTTATGGAGCTCTTTTATTATTTTGGAGCTTGGCAGCTCCAGTTCTCATTTACTCTAAATCTATTGAAAAGAGTGGTCAGAAATTCATCAAAAAGACAAATATTTTATTAAAGAAAGTCATACAGGGTTGGAAAAACAAATGACAGAAGTCAGTAAATGATGGCATTAGTGTAATTTTTTTAGACAAAACCATTTAAAGAATAAATTAGAGCTGGTGTCTGTCAATATCCATTGAACTTTTTACAGAACATGTCTCATAAATGTCAAAATGGCAACTTACACTCGATGGTTTGGCATGATCTTGAAGCCGTCTCTGAACCATGTGACCTGAGGGCGAGGGTAACTGGTCACAGCGGGAGGATTCAAGACAGCGGCCCTTGCCTGAGAGACCGTTTTTCTCTGTTCCAGTTCAGCAAAGTTATCCATGTCTAAGAGAAAGAAAGAAATAGACAAAGAGAGAGAGAGATGGAGAGGTAGTTGGGAGGTGCAATTTAGTCAAAAGAAAAAAAACATGCACATTTAACATCTCAGAATTCTGTTGCTCTGTTGGTGACATCAAAATTTAAAAGAATCAGATGCTATGAAATCACTCTGAGACAGAAGCTCTCAAAATCAATTTTCAACCTCTTTAAAGTAGATCTAAAATAAACTGAATGAAAAAGAACCCTGTTCTCATTGCATTCACATTGTAACTGGACTTGAAAGTGCATTTTTGGATCAACGTTAGTTAGAATCTCATTATTACTATGACTATAATTATTTTTATATGACAACAATGTATATATATATATATATATATATATATATATATATATATATATACTGTATATATATATATATATATATATATATATATTATATATATAAAGTCTATATATATGTGTGTGTGTGTGTACTATATATATACTTATTATATACTATATAATATATAATAATAATATATATATATATATATATACTGTTCATTATATATACATACACACATACAATTAGTATTATTATTATTCAATTGAAAATAATATTAATAATAATAATAATAGATGTGAATTAGTAGTATTAATAATTAATAATAATATTTGTAATACTGTTTTTCTCATGTAAGATACATTATTATTATTATTATTATTAATGTTCTTTTTATTATTATGTGACAAATGTGGAAATACAGTGAACCTGCAGCACTTTGCTTTCATTGTATTAGTATAACAAACTTAAGCTTGTGCAGTAGAAAGATTTCTTCACAGTCAAAAACTTCTAAGACACTCCAACATTCCTTAACCATTGTAAAATCACTGTACCACATGGCTTTTTGTGACTTTTGCTGTAATATACTTGTATATGTGAATATGTGTCCCATACACCTGGCTTATTTCAAACAGCAAATAAAGTGTACTGGAGTGACACCTTATTTAGAATTTACTGGAGTGTTTCCTGAATGTCACTTTTAGTTCATCCACAGGGACTCCTGTGCTACATGCATATGTGTGTGCTCTAGGTGAGTGTGGTGATGTGTGAAATCCATTTGTGCTTCAGCCTCCCGGACTCCCTTTCGAACAGCATACACATGTACTTACAAGCCACGCGAACATCAGCTCTTGTCTGGATCAGCGCTCCCATCCTATTCCTCACCGCGCACTGATATACACCTGCATCCTCACGCTTTAACGATGTAATCGTGTACCTGGAAGAGAGCAAGAGATCTGGTATTTACATAGTGCTTACTTGATGTTCTAGCTGTGCAGTACACACTATATTGCATACTACGTCTTTTTGAGTGAGAAACAGAGCGCATTATGCAATGATAAATGCTTCAAACAGTAGTGTACTACATTGTTGTCTCATCATAACCTCACTGTATGTTTAATTCAGTGAGTCACTTCCAGTTATTAAGTTTCTTTAATCCACTGATGCATTGACTGCTGGCAGTTTGATCCAATAATGTGCCAAGGAGGAAATATAAAAAAAAATACATACTTTTACGCATATTACGGCAGTTCATTCATCACACTGTAATTAAAAGGTCAAATTAAGTGCATTGCATTGTGGGAAAAAAGTATACCAACCACACAGTATTCTCTTATTTTGCATACTGTTCACCACACTATAGTATAAACCGCAGAAATAGTATGAGTAGTAGGGTACTTTGCTATTTTGAACACTACTCAAGACTTGGCACTTGAATATCACAGTCAAATATGTGTCATCTGTACAACATGATTTTCTCAACCTGTACAATAAACAGTTAAATTAAACAGACAAGAAGTTTGAAAGTGGACGCTAACAAGTGCTTGGATTTATGAGCAGATGGATGCGAGTGTGTGCTGTTTAACAAGAAAGATTACAAGCCCACAGGGTCAGAGCTGCTCAAATCTGTGTTGATTCAGTTTTAACAGATGACGGTGTTTAATGCAGAACTGATGGTTCACATGGACTGAATGTGGAATCAGCTGCACTGATAAAAAACTCAACACTCTGTCGGTTTTACAGACATCTCAAACGTAAGTTAAAGATTCAGAGGAACACTGACAAAAATTTAATTTCAATGCTACTGTCAAGATGAGATAGAAACAGAAGAAAGATCAAGAATTAGTATTTTTAATAGTATTTTTCAGTTGTTGTTTTTTTATTCGTTTTAGTTGAATTTTTAGTTAGTTTGTTGGTGGCACTTTGTTTTACAGTCCTGTTCCACATGTGCATACTATGTACTTGCTATATTAATTACAATAACTGGGTAATATCTAGGTACAAACCCTGAACCTACCCCTAAACCTAACCCTAACCCATGTAGTTACCTGATATTAATAAGTACTTTCATAGGTAAGTACACTGTAAGTACAAGTAAGTGCACATACTGTAAAATAAAGTGCAACCAGTTTGTTATATGTTTTTGTCATGTGCATTAGTTTTTGTTTCTCTTAAATATTAATATTTAGTTTCAATTTATTTTTTATTTCAGTTTTTTTTTTTTTTGGTACATTCTTTTTTTTCATTTTATACATATATTTTATTTTATTTTATTTCAGCTTTGTTTTTATTTCAATTAACAAAAATGGTTTTAATAGTATTAGTTTTAGTAGATAATTATGATAACCCTGTTTAGAACAACATGAGGCAATTATTACTGTTTTCATGGCAACATTTCAGCCAAACAATTAATGGTAGCCGGCCACTGACTTCCATAGTATGGCAAAAAATACTACGGAAGTCAATGGCTACCATCAACTGTTTGGTTTTACACATTCTCCAAAATATCTTCTTTTGTGTTCAGCATTAAAAAGAAATTCATACAGGTTCATAGGGATGAGTAAATGATGACCAAATTTTCTTTTTTGGGTGAACTATCCCTTTAAAGTCAAATTTTTTAGCTTTTTAAAAAAATGAATGAAAATAGACCTCATTGCTCATCTTGTAACACTGTTCTTATTATACACCATTTCTTATCTTATTATACACAACTCAAAGGTCACTGTAATAATAATGTCTCAGAAATACGAGGGGTCAAAGATGGATGACCAGACGTGAGAAAAAGGCCAAAGAAGGGAACAGGACAAATGAGATCCCAAAGGACACAGCACTGTCTATATTATTTTTTTATACTGTAGCACTATTTTGTGCAGTACAATCTTCAACACAGAATCCAATGAACTCGTTACATGGGTGCAAAATAAGATAATGGTTACTTAAACCAAAATAGTGCAACAAACTACTTTAAAAATCCCATGGAATCAAAATTTGGGATTTGTGGATTGGGGATGTTATGTTTTGCTGTTTTATGCAGCCTTTATGATCTGGAACATCTTGCCAAAGATCGCATACTAAAGCCCATATTAGTGTTATTCATGATCTTGCCTCAGAAGGACTGTCCCTGTTGCATTGTTTTTGATAAGACATGGAAACAACTCAATCAAATCAATGAAATATTTATGTCTAAGCGTGCAGACAGCAAAGCGTATGTGTTAATTATTACCTGTACTCTGGTGTGTATTTAGTGATGTCTGTGCTGTTTCTCATCCATTTGAACTCCAGCGGCCAGCTACCCTCAGCCAGACAGGTGAGCACGAGTCTGTTCCCCTCCAGGTGTGTCTGTGCACCCCCTGCCTCGGTTTTAAAGTACGGAGCGATGTCTGTAAAGAGAACATCAATAACAGAATGAAAACCCATGCTTAATTTTGATATAATTAACAGTTAAACTAATCTAAAATTGCAAAGATAGCTAATTATGATGCATGAATGAAAGCACACTCTGAGTGTAAGAATAAAGTGCTGAGCATGATATTTGAAACAGTCCAGTCTCACCATAGTGGCCAAATACTACTGTGATTAATGACAAATATATCACTCAGGCTGATTCATCAGCAAATATTTGGCCATTTCGAGACAGATAACTGTGCTTGAGTACACATTTAAATGACATCTCATTATATGAGGAAAAAATATATCTCTTATTCTCTTATGAAATTCCACTAATATTGGCACCCTTGGTAAATATGAGCAAAGGCGGCTGTGACATATTTACAGTTTTTAGCACACCAGGGTGACTAGGAGCATTAAATTGTCCAGCCATGACTTCCTGTTTCACAGGAATATAAATAGGAGGGAACACAAAGGCCAAATTCCCTTAATCATCCATCACAAGGAGTAAAAACCAAAGAATATAGTTCTGATGTGCAGAACAAGATTGTTGAGCTTCGCAAAAAAGAAAGTGGCTTTAAGAAAAGAGCTAAAGCATTGACAATCTGCATTTCCACCATCAGAGCAATAATAAAGAAGTTCCAATCAACTAAAGATATTACAAATCTGCCTGGAAGAGGACGTGTGTCTATATCGTAATAATGCACGGTAAGGAGGTTGAGGAGTTTGAGTGGCCAAAGACTCTCCAAGGATCACAGCTGGAGAACTCACTAAAAAAATAGAGCTTTTTGGCAGCAAACCCACCAGATGGGTTTGGTGCAACAGGGATAAAAAGTACCCCATGCCCACAGTTAAATATACCGCTGGATCTTTAATGTTGTGGGCCTATTTTTCTGCCAGAGGTCCTGGACATCTTGTTCAGATACATGGCATCATGGATTCCATCAAATACCAACAGATAAAAAAAAAAGAAGAGTTAAGATGCAAAAGCCTCTAAGTGCCGTCAAAAACTGTCCTCTAAAATGAGCATTTGTATCAGGCTCCTGTGTTTATGTTCAGTTATTTCACTTTAATGGCATAGAAAAAGACCTATACATTGCCATTAAAGTAAAATTACTGAACCTAAACATAGGAGCCTGATAAAAATGCTAATTTTAGAAGAAAGAACTGTGTTGTTTCTATTTTAATGTACTTTTAAAGTTTAAATCACATTAAAAGCTTAATTTGTACATTATGAATGAATGATGATGCATTTATATACCGTCACCATCAATCACAGCCGCTCGCACGTGTTTTGCGCATGAGCCACACGCAGCCCAAAATTAAACGACTTAATCGACCATGATAGCTTTAATCGATTGCATCTCTCATCGACAATTAATCGATCATCGATTAATCGTTGACATCCCTAATCTGAACTCTTCAAATCTAAACCTGACTGACTCTGCTAGAAATCTTATAATGGGCCATGGTTGAATCTTCCATCAGGACAACGATCCAAAAAAAACCCCATCAAAATCAACACAAAAATGTGTCTCTGAGCACAAAATGAAGCTTCTGCAAAGCCATCCCAGTTCCCTGACTTGAACTCTACAGAAAAAGAGTGGGGTGAACTGAAGAGAAGAAGCACCAACATGAAGCTGGGAATCTGAAGGATCTGGAGAGATTCTGGATGAAGGAATGGTCTCTGATCTCTTGTCAGGTGTCCTCCAAACTCATCAGACATTATAGGAGAAAACTCAGAGCTGTTATCTTGGGAAAAGGACGTTGCAATAACTGGGTGCCAATAATTGTGGCCAACATGAAATAGAGAAAAAAAACTTTAATTTCATAATGAGATTCTCCCCCCAACTTTCCATTGTTTTACTTCAATGATAGGTTAGAATTTTGTAAATTTTTTATAAAAGATCAAAAGTATAAACTATGCAGATTTATTTTCACAGCCACCTTTGCTCATATTTACCAAGGGTGCCAATATTAATGAAGGGCACTGTATACACACACACACACAACACAAATTAGATTTTTCTATTGTTTTTTAAAACTGCATTCAGTTTATCAAAAATATAGTAAAACATACAGTAAAAACAGTAATATTGTGAAATATTATTACAGATTAAAATAACTGTTTAATATCTTAATATATTTTAAAATGTAATTTATTCTTGTGATGCAACGCTGATTTGATTTTTTTAATTGATTTTGCTGATTTGATTTATTTTTTTATTTTTTTTGTAACAGTGTAAAATGCTTTACTGTCACTTTTTATCAATTGAATGCCTCCTTGCTGAATAAAAGTATATATTTCTCCACCAAAAAATCTTACTAACCCCAAAATTGTGAACCATATATAAAGTCAGGATGCTCAAATGAAAAAGAATCGAAGGAAGAGGAAACAAAGCTTTCATAGCGACTTTGTACTGTTTACACTTTTCAAGGATCAACCAACAGTCCTTGGGCTATAGCAAAAACATTTAGGCCATAATAAATATGGAATATAATTCTGAGAAAATCTGCAAATACACACTTACACCCCTAGACACCCAGTTAATGTGAAAGGAAAGACTCATATTTGTCAAAAAAAAATAAGTCACCTTCATGTCAGTATTGCACAGTTATTTCACACTATATGAATATTGTAAGTTATAAAGATACAAACATTCCATGTGGTCTTTGGTCATATTAAACTGATTGTACATTCACAAGACATACATTCACTGTAAGTTCTGTTGCATAAAGCAGTGGTCATTTTAGAATGCTTTTCAAGAAGCAGCAAAAGAGCATTACTGACGTGAAGCACACACAAAAGACAACTTACAATTGATTCCAACAGAATTTGATGATAGCATTTAACAACATTGACTCCAGCATGTGGTTAAGCTAACAATGTGATACTTGAGTAAAACATTCAATAGTTTTATATAATATTTGATCTTAAATTTGAAAACTATTTTTGTTGATACTTTTTAGAAATTCTGGAAAATATCAGTAAAACATTTCCATTTATGATTTTAACATGACGATTATTAACCAATAAATAGCTGATATTATAAGTCCATACTACTTTGTTAAGAAAAAAAAAACACATTAGAAATAAAACATTGAAAATTCAGCCAATACAATTTTGTTGCAAAATGTAAAATATAATATCACAAAGCTCAATATACAAAGTTGGGTATATACTGTATATCTATACATATAGTATACTAACGTAAAGCAATGTATACTGTACAGCAAATATCAACTGCTTGATTGTTTATATTGTCACAAAATGTCAACTATATTATCGCCCAGCTCTTTATATAAAGTTGGACATACAGTAAAAGTATACTGACGTATAGTATATAGCAAATCTCAACCGCTTAATTATTTAAGTCTTTGCAAAATGTAAACTACATTTAAAATTATTTACTCCACTACATCCACAATTGATGTATTTATTCACAGCTCATCGGAATGTGTCCTGGAAATGCTATATATGTATGCTATATATGTATACAGTACATGCTGCCTTAGGATTTAGGCAAAAGAAGGTATCTCAGAAAGCACCTAGATGTTGCTCATACAATCTCAGCTGGATAAAATGACTTCAGTCAGTTCTTGTGAAGCTAAAGGCCAATGCCTCAGTGGCTCCCATCACACTTGTTAGTAAATTACTCAACATTTAGCAAACGCTTTCATCCAAAAAAAGACTAATTGCAGAAACAGCCCTCCTGGAGCCACTAAGAGCTTTGCTTAAATGCACAAAGACGACAGAATAGAAATGTGAAGTATTAACAAGATTTTTACATTTAAAAAAACTGTGAGTGATGTTTGCCCATGCAAAACTAGCAGCCATTCATGTCCATAAAGTTACACTTTAAATTTAATATTTTAATACTACAAAAAAAATCAAATTCAAATTAATTGTATCATTTTTAGGGGCAACATAAAGTTAAAAATAAATATAAAAAATACAAATTAAAAAAATAGATTCAAAAATAAATTCATAAAAAGTAATAATTAATAACCAAAAATAATAAAAAGTAAATTCTTGAAAAGAACATCTCCAGTAGTTTGACAATATTGTATATATAAATAATTTGGTATTTTTTTTACAAATATTTTTATTCATAAATAACTAATAACTAATTACTATAAATAATAAAAAACATTATTTATAAATAACTTTATTTCAACTAATTGCCAAGGCAACCATTTTCTCTCTGTAGTTTAAGTAACTTAAACCAAATAAATTAAAACTTAATAAAACTATACAGACATATAAAAAAAACAAATTCAAAATAACAAAAACACATAAAAAATTTAACAAAAAAAAACAAAAACACGACAATAGTATTTCAGTGGTACTAAAATAACACTGTTGCAACCAACATGCAGGGAAAAAGTCAATAGATAAATAGACCGATTTATGAGAAGACAAAGATAATTCATGCATTCAGTTTCATTTTTAAAAACATCTTGACGAGCTAGATTAAAAGATTTTCCTTTTTTATCATGGACACTCTTATTTGTCAATGACTGATTAGCAAGAATAACATTAATAGTTATAAAGCATCACTAAATGATAACTAATAACTCTCCAGTTACTATCATTGTTTGGGACTGAAACTTTGCGCTAACACCTTTAATCCTTAACCGATGGACGATTACTGCATTCATCTCACATGAAAGGAGCTTGGTGCCGAACTTAATGAGGCAAAACTGTATTTCTTCCAGACCCAAATACACAATGTGAGGATCATAGCACCCTGTGATCTGACCTTTTTTGTGGTTCCTGTATAATGAGACGGTGTGACAGCCACATGCGCTCCCAGCACAGTCATACAGTTTTGGGGAGTTAAGTGACCCCCCCACCCATAATGCACCAGTCTTTTCCTCTGGCCTTAGGATACAGTTACCCACAGAGAAGATCTGAGCACACAGACAGGTAGAAGCAAGCATGGGTAATCAGGTGGAAGAAATGGGGTGATCAGTGACATTTACACATCAA